CTTTCTTTTACTCACTAAAACTCAAATGGAAGATGACGAAAAGTTAACACCCATGTTATTTAAGGACACAAGCTTAGATTAGGAGACAGAACTACAAATCGAGGAGGACAAACTGATAAAGCCACAATCTGATGAAGAGGGTCAACTTAACGTAACAGAATTTACGTTACCACCGAATGTATGTGTGTGTCCAGCAGCAAGATGCACTGAGTGAAGATGGTATCATGGAGATTTGTGGAAGTATCTTCGTTCAATGTACAAGATGAAAGAGATATGCATAATATCTGTTGAGCATACAACACAAATAACATCTGAGAATCCTTTAAAACCATAGGAAAACAAAGAAGTAAAGCCCATGGCTCACACGAGGTTGTTAACCAACCAAAATCACTTACAACTTAATTCCTCAAATACTCAGTTGATGTTAATATTGATCCAAACTCTTGATTGCAACTGTCCAGCGATAAAAACACAAATAAGGCTCCCTGAAGTTTCTAAAGATTTATTTACAACCATTCCTTTCCGCCTATATCTTCCAACAGCTGTCCGATTAATAGTACACTTCAAGACTTGAGCCACCCAATGGTCAATGACAGAAGATATACAGGAGAATCACAAAAATCCATTAGCAGCGTCAAACACAGAGAAGAGTATAAAAAATGGTAGACTTCATAAGATTGATGAAAGAAGTGTATAAGGTTCATTAGGATTTCCACTAGACAAGAGACTTCACTCAAACTGAAGGCTATCTCATTACTCTTTTATAACTGAAGGCTAGCTCATTACTCTTTTATAACTGGAGGCTATCTCATTACTCTTTTATAACTGGAGGCTATCACATTACTCTTTTATAACTGAGGGTTATCTCATTACTCTTTTATAACTGAAGGCTAACTCATTATTCTTTTATAACTGAAGGCTAACTCATTACTCTTTTATAACCTTAGAGAACGTTTTCATATTTCAAGGTTAAAATACAGAGGCGAAAGGCAGTGTGACTGTAGAATAAACACGCATACACACTACTACTATATATAAAAACATTACTTTGGACAGGCCGTTATTGCCATCAGTATTATCATTATTATCTTCATTACTGCAACAGTTTGGGAAGTGCAGGAACAAAAATGATTTTCTAAATTTGAAAAGTTAAATGGTATAGTTAAAATGCTTATCAAGACATACAGCTTTGTAGTAAGATGAAGAGGACTAAAAAAATAAGCTGTAGAACGTTAACGAGTGTGAATATATATGCCGAAACCTGGTTTCATTAAAAGAATTAAGTTTCATGGCAGGATTTCGAAGGTAATCATGGCGTGCCTTCCTTTGAGGGATATTAATGTATGTCAATTTTTAACAACTTTGTTAAAATAACTGGGTTAATTTTATAAAACACCTTTCTTTGTATTACTTTATCAGTATATGTAGCTTAAAAATATATCAGATATGAGGAGAGACAACGCTATAAGTTTGGTGGATGAATTCCTTTGCTCATGTTTGATCACTTCAAATCATCCTTTATATGATATATGATAATATAATGGTCAGGTAAGAGAACTTGTGCGAGCTAGGGCAGAGTGCATGTGACAGGGGAGTTATAATTAATTGATATATGTGACAGTATAGCGTAGATTGCAGTAAGTATATATGTTATCCGATGAGCTTAAAGCTTTTGGTATAATTAAAATCCAATGATGAGATCTATTCCCGAGAGCAATGATTAGATCGGTATTATTTTGTTCTATTATTCAATATGTGGATACTTTCAGAGGTTAATTTTCTGTTCGAGAGATAGAATCAGTAGTTATTGTCAAACAAGATGATATGGAGGAATATATTTAACGTTGTGCTATGCTTGGTATTGTCGATGATTTTAGATTTGTGATGCATGATAATTATCCAGTAAATCCAGAAACGAGCCAAGTGATCATTTTTATGTGTCAATGTTAATGTTCTGCTCTGTGACATCACATGTCAGGTATTTGAGGTTTAATGCTTGTTGTACGCCTAAAAGCTAATATTGGAGTTGAATACCACAGATTATAACACTAATATTTTTTTTCAGATCAAAAGTCCCCAGGAATGAGCAGAGATATAGTTGGGAGAGTTATGGTGTCTGATACCATTAATTTATCTTCCTCTCATTTAGAGGGTAAACATCTGGGTGAATCTACTAGTATTTATTTGTCTTCAAATAATTTTAACTAAACAGTTACCACATGGTTTGGGGTGAGAGTGAACTCTTGTAGACATCACTTGTTACACTGCTGCTGGGATGAGAAGGAAGGATAATTGAGATACGTCGTCTTGCTTATCAACCTTCTCACTGCTGCTGGGATGAGAAGGAAGGATAATTGAGATACGTCGTCTTGCTTATCAACCTTCTCACTCCATGGGATGAGAAGGAAGGATAATTGAGATACGTCGTCTTACTTATCAACTTTCTCACCCCATGGAATGAGAAGGAAGGATAATTGAGATACGTCGTCTTACTTATCAACCTTCTCACTGCTGCTGGGATGAGAAGGAAGGATAATTGAGATACGTCGTCTTGCTTATCAACCTTCTCACTCATATGGGATGAGAAGCCACTTATTCTTATAATTGACCCCTTCCTCTTTTTGTAAGACGTGGGTGGTTTGATGTACAAATGATGTGATTGGCTACTCTTCTTTCTTCTTGCTATTTCCAGCGCTAAAGTGGACTAGTTCTTTGCTAGATTTGAATAAGGTAAAGAGAGAAAATCTATATCTCGAATTTCTCGAAAACATTTCATGTTGTTTCTCATTATATCACATGGATTAATCGTATCTAGTGCCTTGTCGTCACTAATGTCAGCCTGCAACTTTCTTAAACGTCCTTTTTCGTATTTCTTCAATTTTCCACTTCGTAACAAGATCTTGAAGTACAACATCTACAGTGTTTCTGTGATTATAGTAACAAGATCTTGAAGTACAACTCACAGAAACACTGTAGATGATGTTGTACTTCAAGATCTTGTTACCATAAATAATCACAGAAACACTGTAGGTAACAAGATCTTGAAGTACAACATCTACAGTGTTTCTGTGATCATGGTGATTTTGCTCTAAGATTCCTGAAATCTGTAAAATCTAATTTATTCACTCAACTACTGTGATTTACTCAAGCTTCTCACTTCTCTCGTCCAATATTGATTGTTTGTCCGTGTAACAAAACCGTAGAGTTATTTGTTGACGATAATGGTTAAATATTCAACTATTTTACATGAACTAACAAAGGTACTCCTGCCAGGCGCGGTATACATATCGTTGGCTTCACGTGGATGGCGTGCGTGTACGTCATTCGCTAGCACTAAGGCAGTAGCAAGGAGAAAATTGAAATAGTTGCTAAATTCGTAAACAATAGAAAATTATCAAAGAAGGAGGTTTTGGAATCCCTCTGAGGCATTCCCAAGGAACGTAAGAAAGTGTTCAAAGATCGGGCAGCTGGAAAATCTGCTACCAGTTACCATATTTAGGGATCCTTCATCTCTCGCCTCGCTGTGCGTTGCTCACTTATATTCTGGGTATCAACTTGTTAGATTACATGAATTAATCAGCCATGATTATCACAAATATAATAGTAAATATTAACTGAAATGCATGTCGTCCACAAAACCTCCGGTGAAGGGGTTCAATGGCCCACCATAAATCAGCCATGATTATCACAAATATAATAGTAAATATTAACTGAAATGCATGTCGTCCACAAAACCTCCGGTGAAGGGGTTCAATGGCCCACCATAAATCAGCCATGATTATCACAAATATAATAGTAAATATTAACTGAAATGCATGTCGTCCACAAAACCTCCGGAGAAGGGGTTCAATGGCCCACCATAAAATTATAATTGTTTACGAATTTTTTTATATTTTCTATCAAGTCATTCACCTGGTGATAAGTTACCTTTACGTGTAAATCGAGTTAGATTTTGTTATACATAAATCAATGAGTTTCTTGTTTTTTTATATTTTTGTTGTTATTTTCACAATATGTATACATTAAAAAGTTTAAGTAATTAAAAAAAAACATGAACATAATTTATTTTAGAATTTTCTTGCAAAGCTACATAAGAGGTCTCTCTTTACGTGACCGTCCCTGAACTGATAGACTAGAGGGAAAGCACCTAGTCAATAGCACCCACCGCCGACTTTAGAGCTCCTCTTGTCTGAGCGATTAATGGGAATTCAATTTTCATATTTACAGCATACCCCGACCCCAAAATAAAGTAGGTATTTTTTGTTGCCAACGAGACGAGAACCACGAATCCTCGGAATCACATTGGCACTCTAACTTAGTTAAATATAGTTCAACTATTCCTTTAAGAATTATTTGAAAACCCTACTTTTTTCTTTTGTAACAATAGGAATGGTAACGTTCAGATTGTTGAACTCATTAAACAACAGTTGTTCTCTTTAATAGACACTTTATGCACAAAAACAGCATAAAACATATTGACTGATGTTGTCACTTATGTCACATTAAAAGCTTTGGTAAAGCAGATAATAAAACAAACAACTGCCTTGTTTGATTTTCTAACGGAATGCTAAAGAAGGTGCATCAATGTTTGTCCCACAAACGTTACACAGTTTGGTTATGTAAAAGAAATTAAACAATGATTACTTTGGAAAATATCCAAACCCGAATGTATTAAACTCAAAACCTTATCATACCGTAAAGCACTGGAATATACAAGTATTTACAAGATAAGCGGACTTGGTTTTATTACTATAAATGCTATATAAAATATTATGTTTAAACTACAGCAAACTGGACATATTATCCTATATACAACACCGGCTCCACCTAACTACAAGATAGGAGTTATATTTAGAACTAGAATAAAGTCACACTGTAACAAGAGAATTATTAGTGCTAAGCTAACAATCTTAGATGTATCAGAGTATTGTATTAAATTTTCCCTTTTCATATATTTTTTTATTAAGTAAACAAAGCCAAAAGAAATGAAGATGATGTAGGTTGAGATCGATTGTGTGAATACCTGAGCACAGATTCTTCGAAGTTTCGCAATCATCGCCATCAGCAACCGCTTACTATTGAGAAGTGAATACTTCCAATCCCCTTGAGACCTACTGAAAATGAAGGAGACTCGGGAAAAGAACGATTCTTCGCAGTTCCTAGCCACCTTACGTCGCGCGCAGAGGAAGCTCGTGAGAACCCCACGTGTTGTTGAGAGAGAGACAGAACAACTCGTGCAACGCAAGTGCTCGTTGGGTTCTCTGTTTCCCCAATACAGTCAGCTTCAGCGGATTCCAGAAAGAAGGGCTAGCTTTTCTGAGTTTAGGACCAGAAGCTGGGAACAGAACCATGCAGGCGAAAAAGCGCTGGAGCAAAGCTTACTGGTGAGAAAACTTTAGTTGATCAAAAAAAAATCTAAAATCAATTCTCCCACGAAACGAAGACAATATACTCTCAATTATAATACAAGTAACATTTTAGTGTGTCATCAGTATCCGTTCTTGTGATAAACCACAGAAATCAAAGCTGTATGTATTAGATTGACATTATATTATAAAAGTCACTGAAATGTTTAGAATTCCGAGAAATGGAATGTATTAATTATATTCATTAGAGTAGATTTTACTTGTGAACTATAAAAAAACAGTTCAATCTCATTACAGAAATAAAATATACTATAACTCGGTTTGATTGAAGCAGTCTGAATGTAATGACATTAAAGATGCCATTTTTCTCCTATCATTAGACTATTTTGAAATACCCAGTATGTTGTTGAAACTTTCCAACTTTGTGACTAACTTACGACTTTAAGATATTCAACCAAGCCACTAAATATTAAGCTCTTGGTTTTAAAATAATCATTAATCGTATATCATCTTAGAGCAGAGTTGAGCATAAAACACACTTCCATTATCATCCAGACTGTTCTCTACAAATCTTAGATCCTAGATCTGAAGGACACGTACGACATGTCTGTCCAATCTTGAAATTTCAGTACAACCGAAACATGAGTGAAACGTAGCTATAGGTTCAAATTTACCAAGTAAACTAGTTATGGCAGTTGTGTTGTTGAACACTTTCAACTGCCAATAAAACTTAAGAAGTGAAAACAAGATTACATGTGTATTGAATATTTGGTAATCCAGTAACAGAAATATATCATCTGGATCAATTTCTAACTGGTACATTAGTAGAAAAGGGAATTATATCACACATGACGAAGCAATGACAAGTTACAGTAATCATCCAAGGTAAGAAGGAACCTTTTCCAACGAAACACAGGCTTCTGAATCGATTACACTTTTATAAGTAGGGTCACAGATCATGAAGATTATAGGCTTAGATGTAGATTCATTCCTGCCATAACGAGTATTACTAGCTGTTTTTGTTTTAAACGTATTACATAATCGCTATGATCGTTGGTAATGTACATTACGTGACCGATATAGAAATATATTATATGCATTTAAGAAACAGGGTCATTACCAAAGAACTTATAACTTCTGTTCCCGCACCTCTTAAAAACAAGGTCATTAACAGTAATTATTACACAAACTTATGCTGTTTTAGACAAATTTACTACCAGTTATGAACACAGTTACTAACAACGAGTGAGAAGGAGAAGAAAAGAGACCGTGTTAATATTTCAAACTTGTTATGGCCACTAACAGTGAATATTGTATAAAATCATGCTAACTTGGTAAGGTTCAATAAGATGTTAACTTTTCTACTATTATTCTCTAGAGAAGTTGGAGTCAAAATTTTGGTTTGTTTGTTTTGTTTG